GCGACCAGAACAAAGGTAAGAACAGGCCGGGACGAACACGGCGATTCTCCCTCGTCTCCGCATCGACCAAGACCAGAGACAAAAGAATATTGCAGTACTTCATGCGACCCGCTTCCGGACGCTTACAATGCCCCCTTTCTACTCGGCGGGTAATCGCTGCCTGTTACTCGGAATTTCACGGTTTAATAATTCTTTATGTAACAACACAGGCAGGCAGATAGAAAGGTTGATAGATAAAAGGATATGTGACAGATAAATAGATTGACAGAGAGAGACAGATAGGTTGATAGCTAGATAAACAGATATATAGTTAAATAGATAGATCAAGGGACATACAGACAGAGGCAGAGAGACTGAGAGCTAAAACACACACACAGAGAGAGAGAGAGAGAGAGAGAGAGAGAGAGAGAGAGAGAGAGAGAGAGAGAGAGAGAGAGAGAGAGAGAGAGAGAGAGAGAGAGAGAGAGAGAGAGAAAGTCAGGTTGAATTTCCTTGCACCTTCATGACTGTATTTGATCTTTACATATACATTTTCACAAGCTACAATTTTCCCCACCTTCAGATTCACCGCTCAGCATCGTCTGTGTAAAAGCCTCCAGTTTCGACTCTTGCATCCGAAGCACGTTTCATTCATTATTCGCACTGTCATGTGTTTTTCAGATCCATGAGTCGGTATTATCGGTTCTTTTATTGGCAATGCTGAATAGCAAAATTTGGAAATGGATGAGACTACATTACATTTATCATTTGTAGTTTGTTTGTAAGTAAATATACAGAGAACCAGTATAGAGACGAGCGAAAGATCTTGTCATTTGACTGATGCTTCGAAATAGCTCACTGAATTACCAAGGAGTTCGAGATGAAAGCATTCAGAGCATATTTTCTTTGTTCTTTCTTCTTTCTCTCTTCCTTTTTTATTCTCTCTGTAAAATGGCAGGGCAGGAATGTCACAGCAGAGTGGAGGAAGGAAGAGAGAGAAGGACAGAGGAAATAAGAAAGGGGTGGGATGAGGGAGGAGGGAGAAGAACAGAGGAAACAAGAGAGATTAAAAGATGAGAGAAGAGGAAGAACAGAGGAAATAAGAAAGAATTAAGGGTAAGAGAAATGGGAGAATAGAGGAAACAAGAGAGAATAAAGAGTGGAAGAAGAAGAAAAGAGGAAAGGAAAATAAGAGGGGTGAGGGAGGAGAGACATGAGAAAGAAGCGAGAGGAGTGGAGATGGAGAAAGAAGGGAAGAATAAGGAAGGGAGAGAGAAGGGAAACATAAGAGACATGGAAGAATAGACCAGAAGAAGGGAGGAAAAGAAAAGAATAGAGGAGGGAATAGGGATGAGGAGGAGGAGAAGAAGAGAGAGGGGTAAAGAAGGAGAGGTAAGAGAAAGTCGAGGTAAGAGAAAGAAAGACAAATGAAGAGAAGAGAAAGGATTGAGGAAAGAGAAAAAGGAGGAGGGAGGAAGAGAGAAGAGAAGAGAGAGAGAAAGGAGAGAGGAAAGAGAGAGAAGAGAGAAAGAGAGAAAGAGATAGATATATAAGATATATATATATGTATATATATATATATATATATATATATATATATATATATATATATATATATATATATATATATATATATATGTGTATATATGTGTATATATATCATATATATATATATATAATATATATATATATATATATAATATATATATATATAGAGAAGAGAGAGAGAGAGAGAGAGAGAGAGAGAGAGAGAGAGAGAGAGAGAGGAGGGGATAGGAGAGAGGTAGGGAAAAATCCATATTCATTTCTGTTCATATACTTTCATGGCATCCTGAACCGTTGAGTAATTTCACAATTTTTCTTCCAATATTCAAAATCTCATCGGATTTTTTTTTTCCATTTGTACGAGTCTCTCCTACATATTAACATTTCCCTTTTCCTTTTTTGTTTCCTTCTACGTTAATGTTATGTAGGGTAATGTAAACACGAATTCTACTTCAAAGGAAATTTTCTGTAGACTCTCCAGGTCCGTTTCCTTTTCTTTTTATCTTTCTTTTTCCTATTTTTAAGAGCCAGGTCGGGAATGACTGAACCGGAGAGGAAGAGATTTGTGAATAATTTACGTTTTTACATTTAAAAATCCAGTGACGCATACGGTACGATGACGCCTTCAACGTGGCTATACGAGCCTTTGGTATAACAAGTGCATTCCAGTTAAGCGCAAGATTTCTAGTTTCCTTTCCTTCGCTCACTCGTCACTCTCACTCGCACACACACATACACACACACAAACACACACACACACACCACACACACACACACACACACACACACACACACACACACACACACCACACACACACACACACACACACACACCATCACTCTCTCTCACACCACACACACAAATACGCAAATATACACCACATGCACTAATACATAGACAGGTATAGGTATGGATAATCACCTGTGCCTATCTATATACCTGTCTATCTATATATATATGTATAATTTTATCCAA